TTTAATTATACATTTATAAATACAAAGCTGTGTGTAAAAAGCAAGACTTTATCTGAATGCAAGTTAAGAGCAATTGCCAAGACAATTCAGGTATAGCTGCTCGACACGGGCATATTGTCCAGGTAAGACCGATTTGGACCCGGGATTTAAAGCCTAGCCTGATCCACTATAATCATTTTTATTGCAGTCTCCTTGGAATCCGCACTGACGCAAATAAAATTATTTTGAGAATAAAAGTAAGAGCAGTGATTGTAAATCAGATAACAGTGCACTATTAATTTAATATCAAAGCAAACTTGTATGAAAAAAATTGAATAATTTTTAGTAATAATAAACATAAAGTTTTTTATAATTTGTTATTTCAAAAAACGTCGAGTAATGTATGTGTTGCAGCATACTGCATATTATTCTATATTTTTAATTATCAATTTCGTCGTTTATAATAGTAAATTAACAAAATTAATTAAAACATGTTGAATGAAAAAAATAAAATAAACAGTGTACCTGAACAAAAATATTCCTTACTCTTTGAAAAATACATTATAAAGTTTATTATAAGTGCATGGTTTCAACAGTTCAATGTGCATTTCAACGCCAATGCAGCCAACTTAAATTTCTAGTCAAACTTACTTTTGTGTGAGATAGCATGTTTTTTCTTAAAGATCTGAGCTAGCAGGTTTTCCAAGCTTAATTTGAGGTAGCATGTTTTTCCAGCTCAATCTGAGGTAGCATATTTTCCACACACAATTTTAGGTAGTACCTTTTCCAAGTACAATTTTCTTAGCAGGTTTTTGAAGCTTAACTTGAGGTAGCATGTTTTCGTAGTAACGCGTCGATACGCACGCTTTTCTCGAAATTTTCCATGACCGTTTTTCATCAAAACAGCCCCCAAAGAAAAAGTCTAACGGCGTTAAATCACATGGTCTGGGCGGCCATTTCTGGTTACCAAAACGGGAAATTACAGGATCAGGAAATGACTCGTGCATTAATTCAATTGTTTTTGGGATGTATGGTATGATAGGTACAAAAAACTGGATTATTATGTGGCAATATCGAGCACCATTAATAGGCCAGTAAATGTAGTTTTTTTGTGCATCATACTAACAGCATACCACCTTTGCCATAATTTTAAAGACAATCCGCTCATGTGTTTTCGACTGGGAACTCCCATAAATTGATTTTAGTGCAAAAAACGCGTTTTTTTAGTTTTTTGCTTATCAAACCAAAACTACTCAAGCAATCTCAATTCCGTAAATGAAAGAAGGAAATTAAATTTTGAAGAAAATGAGAGGTGAGCGATTGGATCGGTTTATTAGAACCGGAGAAAGTCGGGAAAAACTGTAAAATTCGGCATTTTTTCCAAAAATTCATAACTTTGCCATTTATGAAAATTAAGAGCTGAAATTTGGCACAAAAGTAGATAATTATATTAGCTTCAAATGTGTATATCGGCAGTAATTGATTAAACTTAAGAGGTTGTCAAAATATGAAAGAAATCCAAATGAGTAATATTGAGAACCGCTTAATATTTTGATTTTTCATTAAAATATGTGTGAAGACGTTCGACATAGAATGAAACCTGGCTGAAGTCGTACGTAGTAAATATGTCAACTGGAAGCGTTATCATTAAGAACGCCAAATTTATACACAAGAAAGAATTCGAAAAATAAAAAAAATATGAAAATGGACATATTATTAAATGGAAGTCATAAAAATTCTGGAAAAGGAAGAAAATAAGAATAATAAGAAATGAAAAGAAAGGAAACAATTGGAGGAGCTGTGTGTATAAATACTTAAAATTTGGACTACTGCTGGTAGAAAATTCTCAAAGACGAGGATGTCTATGAAAATAGATTGCATATGTTTTAAATTGTCACATTTGACATTTTAGTAAAAAAATATAAGTGCAGTGTGAACCATTGGTGTGGTGATGCATGTATTGATATCTTGGAAACTATAAGAGATAGGAAAATGATTAGATGGGGAAAGTTTTATACAGTTCTGGTGCTAACTTATTGGCATTTGCAGACCAGTCCTACCTTCGGGTTTTTGAGCTATTCTAAAAGCGAGAAAATGTGGCGTTTTCGGAAATCGGCTGTAACTTTTTTATTTAGAGGAATTTTTAAAATCTGAAAACAGTTTTTCATAGCAAGTTTTTTTGAAGAACTTCATTAAATATTTAGATTCTTCATTGAGACATTTCGGTTGCGAAAACCATCAACAACTTTTTTTTTCTTATGTGTGCCATATTGAACTTTAAGCTGAGCAAATAGAGCATTTTCTTAGCTGGTCGTTAATATAAATTTCAAAAACAACCTCAATAAATCAATATTTTAGTATTTTTAATAAATCTGAAAACACCTGCCTCATTTGTGAAGAGAAGGATGCAGTCAAATTAGGATTGTCAGCGTGTTTTCTAAAAACCCACAAAGTGTTAACCTTTTAGAAGAAACATCATGATTACGATAAAACTCAGCATAGATACGATGAGTTTCAGATCCATTACCATTGGCATAAAATGCATGTTTGCCATTTCTGTGTTCATGCACAGGCAAACAATAAATATCAAATTGCACCTTTATCATCCCCATATTCAAATCTGCATTAGCTTTGTACCAAATTTGATTTGATTTGATCAACCCATTTGGACGGTATAGAAAAAAACAGATACTTATTTTTTCTAAAACTTTCTTTCCAGAGAAATGTTATATGTATATTAGTATATATAAACTTTTTTCCTTATTTTTCGTACATTCTTTGTTTTTAAAATATACTTTTTTTAACAACCTGTACGCAGGATTCCCTTAACTGATTTGCATTTTTTGTATATTCCTTCTAGACAGGGTGTGGCGTGTATATTCTATAAAAATTTACTACAACTTTCTGATGATATTTGTAATAGAAAACTCTTATACGAAGAAGTTCTATCTTCGCGTTTTTTTTTGTAAATTAAAGTTCATTAATTCAACGAAAATGAGGGCCAACCCTGTGTTATTTATTAAAAACTTTGGAAATGTTTTTATGCGACCCGAGCTGCAACCTTATAATTTAAGTCGGTATAATCTAATACTAGTAAAGCTAAAAGAAGGTTAGGTTACACTGTCAAAAAATTTGTGCAGTCAACTGATTTTGTATTTGTATTGAATTCATTATTCACTTATTATTAATTAAGGATCGTCCATTGACCTATCAGTGTTAAAAAGTGAAAGATTTCAGACAAAAGTTTATTTTGTAATTCCACTACAGTTACAGTGTAATTTTTAAAAAGAAGTAAATAATAAGAATAGCTTGCCGATTACATTAACAACGAGATTCTTATTTCTTACTTTGCTTAATTTTTTAGTTTGTGCACAAACTAGTTTTACAATGAACCGAGTAAACTATACATTTACTATTTCTGAACGTGTGGATATGGTGTTAGTGTATGGTGCAGCCGGAGAAAATACGCTCGCGGTGACTAGGTTGCACCGGGAACGATGGCCACAACGTCATCGTCACCCCCCATGTGCAAATACAATCATACAGTGCGTTCAGCGGCTGCGAAATACGGGAAGTGTTATTCCTCGAGGAGAAGGACGTGGTCAGCAGGTGAACCTTAATGTTGAAGATGCAGTGTTGGAAAATCTTGACGAAGACCCCACAATTAGTACTCGACGACTCGCACAGCAAGTAGGAACCTCATCTCGTATCGGACATCGCATTTAAGGCGCCAGCAGTTGCACCGCTATCATCTGCAACCAGTTCCAACATATTTTACCCCCGGATTGTAATCAGCGAATGCGTTTTTTGCAGATGGTTTTTACAGCAATATGCCAATCAGGTAGACTTTCCTCTTTATGTTTGTGTAGCAGATAAGGTGGCATTTACCCGTGATGAAGTGAATTTCCATAATATGCACATATGAGCCGATGAAAATCCTCATGCGATTAGGGAAACTCGCTTTCAACATCGGTTCTCAGTAAATGTTTGGGGTGGCATAACAGGCGATGTACTTGTGGGTCCCTATTTCTTTGAAGGACGACTAACTGAACCAACATATGACTTTTTGGAGAACCGGTTGCCTGAATTATTGGACGATGTGGCATTACAAGTTCGGGCACGCATGTTTTATCTTCAAGATAGGGCTCCTCCACACAGTACTCGAGAAGTAAGGACACTTTTGAATGAAATATTTCGTCAGCGATGGATTGGACGCCTTTGTCCTGTGCCGTGGCCACCTCGGTCACCCGATCACTCCAATGGACTTTTATCTTTGGAGTCAGTTGAAGTCATTGGTTTACAATACTCCAATAGCTATGTTGGGAGAATTGCGAAACCATAAACTTGAAGCTGACACAATTAGGGGAATACCTGAAATTTGGGCAAATATTCACCAAAATTGGGTGCGTCGGTGCCATGCCTGTATCCGCGCTAATGGGAATCAATTTCAACATTTTCTCTAGAAATGATAAGTTTTATTTCATTTTGTTTGGTGCACGCAGTTGGCAACTACAGATGCTTACGGATGTTGCTTTGTTTGCGAACTCTTGCAGTAACAACAATGCATTTAAGATAGTAATTACTATTAAATATTATAATAAGAAAATATATAGTTTTTTTAATATCTATTTTTCTTAGTTTGTACTTTTGTATTGAAAAATTCCCCAAAAATTGAGATCTTTCTATCTTTCAATGACGATTTGTTTACGCGGCTGGTCTACAGCACGTAACTCATCGTACAGCACACGGACAGGACCGTTCCAGAGAAAATATTTTAATCCATAATTGAACTTTAATTTACGAAAAAAAAAACGTAAAAATAGAACATTTTCGTATAAGACTTTTCTATTACAAATGTCGTTAGGAAGCTGTAGTTTAATCTTTATAGATTACACACCCTACGCCCTGTATAAGTAATTTTTTTCTAATAGAATATCCTATTTTTTCCACACTGAGGCAGCTTTAGAAAAAATTCGTTCTTTCAAAGTAAATTTGTTTTTCATAAGCAAAAAATCCCAGAATTTGACATTAATCATACACTTTATTCACTAACATTTTATATAATACAAAAGTAAACACGCCCAAAATTGGAATTGCAACACCCTGATCCTGCTATATTGATTACATTAATTCCTGCATGCTCCAGTTATCCTCCATCATAGGAATCATAGGCCGTTTTTCAAATCCTCCGGTACGTCGTACAGGCCACACACTTTGTTTGCTGGCAGCGCCTGATCTGAAATAAGAGACGGAAACTGTGAAACCAATGCGTTAAAGGTAATTTTATAAAGCAGTTGATTAGTTGGAGAGCGGCCAAGAGTCCTGTTTTTGCCGTTGACGTGACGATTTATTAATTAAATCGTAATTGAGATAATGCCTTTCGACGTAAAGAGATTGATTAATTAACACAACAGAAGATGACGCTTTTCAGAATACGTGAATACGAACAGCGTCCTGGTTTTTCAAACTATGCAGTGTGGATCCTAGTAATCGTAATAGAGATCGTAAAGAGATAAGATAGGGCAAATTAGTCAAATCGGTCAATCGGTGATAAATTAATAACAGGTCGAAGAGGAATTTGATATCTGTTTTCGTTTTGAACTTATTAATGAGTAACTTATAAGTTTATTTTCAATTACTTCTATAACAGCAGAATGAGTTATCTTATAACTAACTTAATTCTCATCTACGGGTAACAAATGACCCTGGATCAATCATGATTTTGTAAAAATGTCGTGAATACGTTTTACTAGCTATGGATGCATCAAAAGTATCGAATCTTACTCTCCCTAGATATGTCAAAAGTATTTTACCAAATTTTATTGTCTATTGGCAAAGCTATACTTATTTGTTCGTAATGAATGTCATATTTGGTTCGGATCATACCTCCGAGGTAGAATACAATGTACGAAACTTAGAACTTAGAACTTCTTATCCGAATACAACAGAATTGTATCAAGAGTATCACGAGGTTAAATTCTAGGACCTTTGTTCTTCAGTGTGTGCGGATTTTGCGTTATCAATACTATATTTTGCATTGCATACAGGTATATGCAAATACTTTACAAATAGCCTTTCTAAATTGTGTAGAATAAAAGAGTTTTGTGATAAAAACTCTGAAGGTGATTTGAGATTCTTGAAACATGTAAGCGAGCTCTCTAAAAACACATTTTATCTCAAGTAAATTAATAGCTCAATTAAAGCATTAGTCCCGACACAAAATTAACATTTTATACAGTCCCCATACTTATAGCTGACGATAAATTTAAACTGCAGGAAATTTAGAACTGATGGAAGAAATTCGTTACTTACATGCCACTCTTTGATCACGTTACCCCAATTTCAAATAATTTAAAAGCAGTTGTATACTGGCAGCAAAAACTTCAGTTATGAAGTTTTAAGTTAAGGATTGTATAGAAAAAACAAGAACGAGGTGATGCAGACAACTGAAGAAGAATGAGTATGGAATATAATAACGCTCCAAAAAATGGGTAATTGGAAATAAATTATGCAGTAAAAACTATAAGGATATAAGTATAAACAAAATAAATAAGCTTAATCTATTGATAAGACAGTGTTGTAGGTATAGAAAACCAAGAGAGAAATTCTAAACTCAATTGCAGTACTGAGAACGGCTATAACAAATGTTTCTATGAATATTTTTCAAAGCAGATTTAGAGAACAGAAATACAGAAATACCGAGGTAAAACAGTGAAGGAACAAGAGAAAATGACAAAATAGAGACCGTAGGAAACCAAAATGTAAATTAAATCAAGTCAAATGAGTTCAAATATTAGTGCGTATTGCGTATTGCCTATTCTAAATTAAAGGCTTGAAAAAGAAAGATGATATAAGAATGTCGAACAAATTCTTCTTTAAAATCAAGAAGAAATATACAATAACAACAACCAACCAACATTTAATCTACAGGTCCTAAATTCGTATTAATCAAATAAATTTTATGGAAGAATTAAGTCATAGTCAAAAGGGCTCTGAATAATATTCATAGGTTGGGAAATATTCTAAAGTCATTCAGAAACTAATATTATTTTGTTTTTTAATAAAAACTATTAAAAGTATCTATCTACATATCATACCAAAACATTTTGCATAACATGGTATAAGATCTTGTATTCCAAATTCGTAAAATTCTTCCACGTCCCAAAAAATACTTGTTTACAGTCAGTTTGTCACTACTTTCAAACAGCTTTCTGCCCAACAAATTCTTAAGATTTTTAATCGACTGAAATCAATTGGAGCTAAATCTTCAACATTTATTAGAAAAGGTACGTCTCAGTAAACGAAGAAATCTTCACTATTTTACTTGGAATTAAAAATCATTCAAAAGAATATTCTTCTGAACTCGTAAAACGAGAGTCGTTTTAGTTAGTTTGTGATGAAACAAATAGCTGTCAATTTCCTGGTGTACCTTAGCAAGAATATAGCCATTTTTTTAGTTTAACTAATGAGTGAGTATGATGACGTTATGAGGGTAATTCAGAAGTGAATTAGGAGATCTGGTTTAAATTTTCCATGATGATTCTATAAAGAATTCTTATTTTAATCCAAAAAACGTCTCCCATCGTACACTTTATTTCTTTGCTACAACAGTTACAATTTTAAGCAACAAAAAAGTGAAACTTGAGGAAAATTAGAAAGATCATGAATTATACGTTCTTTTCCGCAAACATACGACACCATCTTATGAAAAACTAATTCTCATTGTTCTATAAGTGAGTTGATGGTAAATTTTACAAACTTTATGGTTTTTGGTTGTTAAAGAACGTACAGCAGCTGGCACTTCCCACTAGGCGGGTTCTTATTGGAACTTATTTATAAGTGTTGTTTTAGAAATACTACTACCATTATAGATTTGATAAAATTTGATACACATGTACAGCCACAGCTAAGGTGTGACTTCAGATAACTAGCAGTTCGCGTTGTTTTGGCGTGATACTTCACTATACTATATTTTGGATGACCCTTATACAAATATTACACTCCTATAACTTTTATATAAACATTAACTCTAACAATTAATGCAATCTCCCGTCCTTGGTTCCTAAAGCATGGAAATAGTCAGTGTTGAATGAAACCATAAAATGGTTTCCATAGAAACCATGTCACCGACTTATTGATTGTACTCGATGGGGAAATCCTTTATTTATTTTTTTATTGTTATCAATATCATTTGCTTACTTATCTGCTATTATTTCAGATTTACAGTAAGCCTTTGATTATTTGTGTTAGTAAAATATTTCCTTATCTTTAAATAGTGTCGAAATTCCATATACACTGTTATGATTACAAAAAATATATGTACATAATGCAAATGGCCACATCAGCAGAGATATGTTTCCTTTTAAATGTTTCTAAGAAAACAGTTATGATTATCACATACGTAATGTGAATGTGTTAAGGGGGCGATTTAGTATGTATATTTTTACCATGTAACAGAGCTTCAGATGAGGACACAAATCGTCGAAGAAACTAATATAATTGAATATTATTATTTATCAATGTATTCGCAATGGTTCCCGCTAGTGAGTGAAATAAATTTCAATGCTCATGAGAACAGAAGAATAATTTAAATAAATGTCAAAGTACCTCAATTTTAACCATACTGTTAGTCTGACAATATATTGCATTTAAGACGGAACTACTTCACTCACTACTAGAAAAAAATGTTATTTACCACTTTGAGCTGTATTTATAATTCGTTAGTTACGAAAAAAAAAATAAAATGAAAATCAGAATTTGTTTATAACAAATTGTTTATAAAATAAACAATGAAAATTTGAATAAATTTTTTTTTTATAATTATATTGAGAATAGCAAATGATGATTTAAAAAAAAATGATTTCTTAATAAATAATTTAAATGACAAATAAATATAAAAATCGATTATAAACAATTAAAAAATTTATTTAAGAAAAATTTTTGTTTTTAAAAATCATTAATTTACCAAGACAATAAAATGGCAAAAAAATGTTTCAAAAATATTAAACTTGTCCATTTGTTTATAACAAATTTATAAACAAATAACGTTAAAATTTTTTTAGCTAAGTTAATAAACGCAATATATTAATAGAAAAACAAGTAAAATCAAACATTTGGTAAAAAAAAAATTTATAACATTTCCCGGATTTTTCATTTTTTGTTAACTTTAAAAATCATTATAAACAAATGATAAAACTGTTATAAACTTTTACAACGGAATCTTGTTTATTATGTATATAAAAAGACCTTCGAGAAAGAAAAAAATTTTTAGATACATTATTTAAACTTTTACAACAAATTTTATGAAAGATTAAGTCCACGAAAAATTAGTTCATTAACAATTGAATAACTTTAACAAAAGTCAAGTTAAAAATTATTTTCCAAATTTTCCTGTGTTCCTTCAAGTGTCTAGATGACACTAAAATTTATTTAGATTAGATTTAGGCCCGATTTTTGAAAAAAAACCTAATTCGCCCGGACTACTAGGCTTATTTTATTCATTATTCAATTCTTCAAAAGTCTTCAAAATTTAGAAATAAAAAGTTGTCATTCTGGGAACAATTGTTTATACAAATTTTGACTTTTTTAGTATTTGTAGAATAAGCTTTACAAGTCGATTTTTCAGAGCACTATATTTCATTTTTGCAATAAGTATTTCGTTCTAAAAAAGTTTTTTTTCTGTTCTTCATTAGTATTATTTTTGGTTTTCCATTTAAAAATTAAAGTAAGTAGCAAAAAAAATAGTGTATCTGGCAATTGAATTCAGATCCACTATAACTGCAGGCTAATTATATTTGAAATCGCATTATATTGCTTGGTAATTGTCCAAAACATGACATAAATTTATTTAATTTTAATAAGCAATAGCATAAAATCGATGTAAAATTTCCCTGGGAACACGATGGTGCAATTATTTTTTTGCTACTTGCCGTAGTTTACGAGATATTTGCGAAAAACCTTATTTTTTACGGGTTTTTTGACCTTTTGACCCCTTGCCTGATCACCTAGGTCAAAAATTTTTGCGGATTCGGATTCCTGAGGGTCGAAAACATATTTGCGCCCAGGTTTGATCGACAGAGGAAAAAATGGAGGTTCAGCCTTCATTTCAATGGACTAAATACATACAGTAATATTATATATATATTTTATGCCTATACATATTATTCTCCAAACGCAATTAGTAGCAAGATTCTATATATTTTAGTAATTAAGCAGTGTTTTTAAGTTAAAACGACT